TTTTAAAATTTCCGACGGATTTCCGACAGAATTTAGTTTTTATTTAAAAAAAACTAAATTCCGTCGGTAATCCGTCGGAAACTTTAAAAACCTTTTTTTTTTAAAAAAAATATAAATACAATAGTTAAATTAATGTAAATATTGAATTTTAATTGAAATTAATGTTTATATTTTAATCGACAATACATTAAAATAAAATAAAAATCATATATCATGTATATAATAACACTAAAAGTAGTTGATAAATGTTGTATTAGGGACTACTTTTGAAAATGTAGATGAATTGCACGTGTATAGATGATAATTGTAGAAATTGATGTAACATAATTGAATGCATAAATGAATTGCAAGATGTGAATGATCATAAAAGATATAGGTAATCAATTTTAAAATAATAAAGAAACACTAAAACCATTGGACAGGTATTTTTTTGATTGTTTATTAAATATTTAAAATATATTTTTGTATCGGAACACAATGGTTCTGAAGTGCTTTAAAACCACCATAACATCATCATCGTATATTTAGACAAAAGGTTGATTGCCGTCAACCGTCAATTCCAACAGGCTCATACAAAACCCGCTTTTAAGGACACCAATATAAAATAGTATTTAAAGAACCTACCACTTAAAACTCAATGTATGTTGTTAGTAGGAAAAGGGATATGATGTATGCAAACATTTCCTCTAGCCCAAGGGCAGGTCAGGCAAGCTAACCAAACCCAGTAAATCCCACATGAAATGGGATCTCGGGCAACCGCTACTAATCTTCTCTTGCCAAAAACGAACCAATATGGTTTTCGATCAACAAGAATAATAAGCAATCAACTCAATAATGTCCTTACATCAATGGTTTTGTCTACAAGAATTACATCTATATGGTCAAAACTTGTGTTAGAAAATCACGGCGTGTATACATTCATTTATTTATTTTTCGTGTTTATTTTTTCTCTATACGTACGTACCTATGTACATAAAATGATCGTCTTCTGTCAAACAGATAATTCAACCGCCTCCTTCACGTTTAACTGGATATTTTGGTCTGTGTTGGCCTCCGCAGCCGCAAAACTAACCTGCATTTGAAAGTGTAACCAACAAGCTGGAACAGATACCCAAAAAAAGGAGAAAGGGAAAGGATCAAACCTCCACAGGCAGCTCAACTGGGAATAGGTTTATGCTACTGGGATTGAAACTGAAACCACTGCACGACAAACCGGATCCTGGTAAGTTAAATTTAAACCCGAACTACAGGCAAGTCGATTGAAAGGTTAAACAAATGGCTTCAATTGACAAGAATATTTACACAGGTTTATTGGTTAACGACCACAGGACAACATTTTTTGGGAAGGTACAACACTACAACCCGGAGCAAATGTACACTTCAAACCAACCAAACCCAATATATCCCACCGGAGGTAGGGTCTTGGAGGGGTAGGATGTATGCAAACCTTACCTCTGTTTCAAGAGCCAAATAGTTGTTTCTCAAAAGACCCAACTTGCAAAAAAAGGTACAATAAAGAAATGCCAGCACAACCAAAAGCCACAGGTTTGCCAAAGAAAAAGTTTTTTTTGGACAAAGTTATGGAAGAGAGCAAAGAGCCTACTTAGATAGAAAGCACACAGACATACCAAACAAGCTCCCTATTTAAATCAAACGATACCTCAGCCCACCTTCCCAACCCCTCCCCCCCCCTTTAAAAAAAACCACCCTACCAATTAGGGTAGTTGTTTGCAAATGTACATGCGCCTTTTCTAAAATGTGAATGTTGGAAGCAAATAAAAGACGCAAGGGCACTAATGCTTTTTGGCCACTGGTGCTAGAGTCTTTTGAACCAATGGTTGTGGGTTTGAGACCCACTGCTAAAAGGTTTATATATTCCAACTGTTTCAAGAGAAGTAAGAGCATATACCTGCGAGAGATTACTAACTGCCACACGTAAGGAATGAAGAACTCTTCAGGATGGCTTTCTTGCTCGTAGGTGAAGCGTAGTTGGGTAAACATCTAAATTGAGATGAAGGGGAAATGAGCTACAGCATGAGCATTACATTTAATTGGCTAACTCTACAACAACATTAGACATCCATTCACTTATATGATTAGACTTCTCTTCTGAAGATAAAAAGATGTCACAGGTAGTATTTCGTTTCAAACAAATCAATGCTGTGCTGCCATGTTAAAAGAATCAGTGTGAATATAGTCATCGTACTTGGTCCGGATGTGGATAACATTTCTAAGCACTGTACTTTCAAGAAAAGGCGAAAGAGAAAAGATTGTAGTTGGCAAAACATGAAAATAAAAGTTGTAGTTGGCAATACTGCATGAAAATACCCATTATATGTTAACTTTTTTGTCCACACTCATGCATTTTGGCTACTACGATATTTCTTTTTTGCATATTTGAAAGTACATTTGTTTGTTAATATGATTCAAGCCATGTATAATGGTTAGAAATTTTGCTCCCTCAAAAAATTTCGATGTCGAATTCAGAAAATGATTCATTTTATCGTAAAGTGTTTGGCACTGAGGGAGAAATTATCTTGATTACCTTCATCCCATCTCCTCGCCAAAATCGGCAATTTATGTTGATTACTTGAAGCACTTTTTCCACTGACCATTCGCCATCCAACTTTTGTGCATCCATACGGCTATTGAAGAAGTCCAAGACCTATGAAGCGACAACCACCATCAGCATCATGCACACCAAACAACATAACTACCATACTTTAATCCAGCACATACAGAAAATATGTTCTCCAGCAACTCATTGAAGCGTGGATGATTCCTGAACGGTTGAAATACCTCTTGCCTATGCATAATTGCATAAATGACCTGCCACATTTAGATAGTGAAAATGGCAAAAAAACAACAAAGGTCACATAGGTATGTCATAAAATGTAAGCAAACATCAATACCAACTGCCATAAAATCCATGATGTACCTCTGGGTTCCTTGGCAATGCATAAGTCAGAATCGCGTTGAGTATTTCCAATACGATCCTCAGGAAGTCGGTATATATATGCAATTCTGCCGACTGGAACAGTAAATTACAATTTAGTAAGAGATATAATAGAAACAGCCAAGTTTAAGTAGTAATGAGGTCTGATTAACTACCGTATCTTCAGGAAGTTTATCATCATCCTTAAGTTCACTATCACTCATCTGCATTTTATCATTCTTCAGCTCAGCTAGTTTTGCGTATCTGGAAATTATGCCCATCAAACATAGTGATGAGAGGCTTGGAAATGTAGAAAAGTTAAGGCACATATGGTGGGATCACAAAGACTCAAAGATCAGGGAGATCCGTACTTGCGCGACAACATATCAAAAAGGCTAACCAGTCGTTGTGATGCATATGAACTTAGTCGATGCACATGAGGCGCCATGTTGGCCAAAGTGGCAAGGCAATTGGTATGCAGATAAACATCCTGCGATAATTTAACATGTGAAAGTTTAGCTAAATATTTCATAACCCATTTCCTAACAATAACATCTGCACTTGAGACACCTCTTGGTTTGACTTTCTATGAGAAGTTTTTAATCCCTAACATTTCTGCAGACCAACTAACAAAACAAGAAAGAATTCAGATAACAATATTTGGTATAAATTAGGCCTGTAAATTCTAACTGAAAATTTTGATCATTTAGTATTCGATAATAGATCAATTATTCAGCTTTAATAAATTCAAGTTGTCGTATTTGACTGATGTTATTAGGATATGAATTTAAAAAGATAGTTATACACTATTCAATTAAATACACGACCCATTATTATTTTGAATTTGAAAATTTGTACCCGAAAATTCAATTTTCATATTCAACCCCAAATTTGATTACCTAAAATATTTAGTAAACACACATATACATGTACTTGTATATGTATATAGTATATATGCACATATATATGTATATATGTGTGTATATTATGTAATATATAATCTATGATATATGATTTAAATAGTACATTTAGTTATTTTACGAACAACATAATCTTTAGATTCAGATGCAGCTCCAAATTCAGAGAAGTGCTTAAATTTATTGCCTAGACATAAGGCCTTAGTTGAATTCAGAATTCGAATTTGAATTAAGTTTCATTGAATTTGAACTTAGACATTGATTTTTAACATCCACCAAAATCCAGATTTCAGATATTTTAATCGAAGTAAAGTTGAATTCAATTAACATGCCTTGGTATAAACTAGTAACAAGTACAATGGCCAAAGAGATAAACTTGTGTAAGTCTGATGAAAATCATATGTAGGATGATACTTCTTGGCAATATTCAAACTTCACCCATAACTATTGCCAGTAAAACTTGAATGCCAAAGCCAATTAAAGTTAGTAGCCGATACGAAAGTATTGTCTTACCCGCATCTTAGACATGTTATACTTCACCGTCCTAATTAGAATGATGACCATGAGAGAACCAAGAGACGTTTGATGAAGAAGACGCTCTTGATACCATGGAACAGAAGGCAGAATCTAATAAAACATTGAATGTTAGGATAATTGTCCAAAGTAACATGTTAAGAATATATTAAACAAAGAGTAAATATTATATAGCCGGTGCAAATAAAATGAAATTACCAGCTTGTGGATGCTAGCATTGAAAGAAGAATCTTGACTAAGTATAAGTAGAATAATCAGGACCATATAGATTTGATTTGACGTTCTCCTTGAAGCATCATAAAGTGTCTCCAGCAACGGCATCAACTGGCCATTTAAATGTAGAAACAATCTTAGACAAGATGGTATGCCATGCCAAAAGTGAATAGACAGCAAGACATGCTAAATGCTTCTTTTGTGCAAAAATAGAGACCAAAAGAAATTATTTATAGGAAGGAAAAAAGAGAACTAGTAAATATGTGAGAGTAAATGTTTTTCAAGTTTGTTAGGGATTGAGGCAGAAGCGGTTTGAAGATTCTATAGTTATAGCTTTGCTTGAATGGAAGATATACAATTTAGTCCAATATACATGATTGCAGATTCCAGATGCAGCTGTATGTACCAAACATTACAGTGTACAACCAAAACCTTGCATTTATAATGTATACTTTAAACACGTTAGTGTATTCTAGAACTGATGTGCTGAACAAAAGCAAACAAATACAGTTTGTGTTTCATACCAACGTATCTATATCAGTCCGGACCAGAACGTATTCCAGAAAGTCTGAATTCCCATGGACCAATGCGTACAGTAGCAGAACAGCAGTTTCATCACCCAAGCACCTGCAGAGGTTGATCAGTTATATAATGGGACAAAGGATCATGGCTATGGCTGTGTGAAATCTGCTACATGTGTGAGATGGCACTGATTTTCGATGCAGAGAGAGAGAGAGAGAGAGAGAACTAAGTATGAAATGAAAGAAACAGTTCGGGGACTTGCTGACCTAGGTATGATGGATTATCATTATGGTCTACAAGTAACAAAACATGGTATATAACCAATAATACTCAATGCTTCGCCCTTCATGCCTATTAGTTTAATTATTTAAGATTATATTCTGTCTAAGTTATTATCACCAGAATAATTGTTGTTGACAAGAAATGAGACCCACAGCCTAAGCACAGTGCACATAAGAATTCGAGTAAAATTCAACCTACAAAAAATTACTTTTTCAATTAATAGCTACTGTTTGGTCATAAGGCGAAGGATCGTGTGAGAAGGAGAGTTAAAATGAGAAGTGTAAGAAGGGATCTGGACCCTTGATCACCTTTAATCTGAATCCCACCCATGAATAGCGCTTGATACGGGGTTTGATTCGGTGCATCGCAGTGCATCTCATCTTGGTGCATCTCATCCTAACATGCATCTAAGGGTGGAGATCCCTTCTTACGCTTCTCACTTTAACTCTTCTTCTCACCGGAACCCAACCTTTGGTCATAATCTCTACTTACATGAGACCCACTGCTTAAGCACGGTATCCATTAGTTATTCACCACAAACAGGTGTGTATGGAGTTAAAAAGGAAGCTCAGAAACGGATATTTACATGATAGAGTGCAAATTGGGATAAGAAATATGGTACATGAATGCTCTAAAATACAATAACTAGAATTAGACAGAAGTAAAATATGCTCTTACATGCCAAGTGTATCAAATAGAGAAGCAAAAGACAATCTCACAAGTGGACCAGTATGTGCATTTCCCTCGATATCTACCCGATCAACTGCACGAGGATGGCAGACTAGGTCAATTAGAAAACACAAGTGAATATGGCTACAAAACTTATTAGATAAAAGGACCTTACACTCAACATCCCTGACATTTTCCAAGGCTTTACAATACCGGTTTTCAGCAAAATAGGTTTCCTCTTTCAGAAGTGATTCAGAAGTGACACCGGCAATGCTGTTTTTCACAGATTCCACAAGAATACATTTACGATAATGAATGAGAATAAGTAATATATTGATACTGCTGTCAGCCAGTTGACTTCTTGAAGCTTCCACACTTGAATTGACAAAGTAACTGAGTGGCAATAGCACTATATTTGCTGCAAGTCAGGTATAAAGAAGATTTTATTAGATACGTAATCCAAAGTTACTTAAGTAGGATGCATCTACATTTGAAAAGAGAAACACATTTTGAAGAATCAGAACATTAGCTGTAGAGATTGTGCTTGGAAGAACATATATATATATAATATGATGTATAATATATATATATATATATATATATATATAAGCTGAAGAGAACCCAATATAGTGCATCATATGGGCAATGTGGTCTTGAACATGCATAATATCAAATCCCAACTTTAACCTAACTGTCTCCTATAACTATTTTCAGATTCAAAAATAGATACCAATATTTCCTAGAATGAAAAGATAAACACAAACAGAATATACCAACACGACGAGGAAAAAACAGACTAGAACCGGAAAAAAGAAGGCAAACGGTCTGGATGACTCCTCTTCTCAGTGAGGTTCCTCCTGATGCTCGTATTCTCCTCCTACAAAGAAATCTCCATGTGAAACCCCAGCAAATTTAGAATGCCATTGCAAAAAAAACATGCTTGATTCCATCGGAGCAGCAATGAACATGATCAAGATGTCATGTTGCGGATGGCTATGAAACTGACAGAACCTAAAGTGGATAAAATACCATAGATGAGTAACAGAAACTTTGATCCGGTTGTTCCTCCAGGATAGCTGTTAATACAACTTAAATGACAGCTAGACCATCCTCTTGTCCTGCTATTTTCAAACTAACAGTGAACACTTTGATGCAACTTTTAGTCTCTTGGACAAAATGACAGTTGCATCATTCTTGCTTAGGTTGCTATGCATCACTGACCATTAAATTAGCTTGATATCAAGAATGCATTTCTTAGTGGAAACTTGAGGAGCAAGTTTATAAGCAAGAGCCTCCAAAGTCAAACAGGACATGTCTTCCACAGTATGTCACTTATGAGGATCCCTTTATGGCTCAAAGCAGGCTCTTCAGGACTGGTTTTCTCAATTATCTCAAGCTCTAGAAACAATTGGAATAGCTTGAAGCAGACACGACCATTCAGTATTCTTCTGTCAAAAAATGGCAAGAGGATCATGGTGGATTCTATGTTTATGTAGTCATTACAGATCTCTAAGAAATTGCTATATCTTAAGTTCTATATTCATGAAGACTTCTACATCAAAGTTCTCATGMATGTCAACTACTTCTTAGTCACTGAAGTAGCCAGATCGTGAAAGGAGATCTTTCTTTGTTAAAGGAAGCATGTCCTAATCATTCTTGCCTTGCAGAGATAGGCATGATCAACAGCAACACAACAGATTCACCAATGGTTCCTAATGTCAAGCTCCGTTGTGAAGATGGTGAATTATTTATGGATCTAGGGAAACATAGGTATCTTGTGGGAAACTGAACTATCTCGAGTCACAAGATCAGACATTGTTTTTTTGGGTCAGAATGGTGACCAAGTTCATGTTTGCCTCTCGCACGAGTCACTGGCATGATGCTATACATATTTGAGATATCTCAAATGTGTTCAAGAGAAAGGACTTCCTTATTCAGATTGTGAACAAACCAAGAATACTGCACTCAAATGCAAGTTGTATAGAATGTCATCACAGTAGACAAACTATTACAGGATACCGCATCTTCTTTGGTGGGAATCCTATATCACGGAAGAGCAAGAAACGAGATGTAATTTCTCTGTCAGAGGAAAAATATCAAGCTATAGCTAAAACTGCAAGCAAGTTGACTTCGATTCGACTGTTGACACAGGAACAAAGGAGTCTCCAACTAATCTAGCGAAGACGTGCTGTTATAATCAGCTTGTTGTGCATAACTTCAAAAATCATATATTTCATGAGCGAATAAAGCATATCAAGGTTGATTGTCATCGTGTTCATAAGAAGGTAGTAGGTACTTTTCATGAAACCCCATCTTTTGAGTTGATTTAGGTTCACTTCAAATATCAATTGGCAGATATGCTGAAGAAACACCTTCGTGAACCCCAAATTAGTGATATTTATGAAAATTTAAGCATGGTCAATGTAATTGCTCCAACTCAAGGAGGAATGTTAAAGAATAAGAACTATTTATACATGAAACTATTGTAATCTAGGGAAGTATCTTTAGGGTTTGGTTAAGAATCAAGTCATGGCCCATAACTGTAATTTATATTATGCATCTAGTATGTGATAGTAAAATACAGTTTTCAAGAATACCATTTATCAACTACCAACCTGTTTGGCCCACAAATGTGAAAACATCATCTAGTAATGACTCAATCTTTTAAAAAGTGGTTAAATTCGCTAACTTTTCATAAATTATAATTGCCAGTTCTAAATATAGCGAGTTATATGTGATGAACATTCCGAATCCATTAATGTAAACAACAAAATAGTAGCAGATGTACAATGTAGATATGAATGATCTAGGAGGCCAAGTCAGATATACCAGCAGCAGAACCAACTCTTTTCAGCACACCAAGACGATTTTCTTCAGACAATAATGTATAAGATGCACTACTTGATGTTCGTGGCCTTGTGATGAAATTAAGAAGTAGTTTGCGAACAACCAAACCAACCAGAGAACTCTCCTGCAAATATGGTGACCAAAAAAATATTCTATCAGCGTTATTAGAGTTTACCTGGCTCTTCGTTGAATCAATGGACAAAAATTAGACACGTCACATTGCCAGTGGTTACCTCACTCATTGCTGCATCAATGAAAGGGTGAACATCATTTGGTCCAGGTGATGGCCCAGAAAGTAGCTGAGTAGACATAGCAATGAGCATGAAGTTCAGCAGCTCATGATGTAGGAGATACGTCTTCGGACTTCCAACAAAAAGAATATTTACACATACATAGTCAGAAAAAGGAACAATAGAGCCTACTACTAGAAAAATGAATGTGATATCAATCTGAAGTATACCTTATATCCACTCTGCCAATATAGCAAAGGATAGCATGCATAACCATGTTTATAATGCTCTCGTCTGTGATCAACAATAGAAGATAAGACACCATCATAATTGACAAAAAATACTCGACAAGAAAATAACCTAGTCTCCAAAGATCTATAACTTATCCATCTCCTAATAGAAATCTTGTAGTTAACTATGTCTTGAATATCATTAGGTTGATCATCATTGACATTGACCACCAAATTAATTAGCTTTTTCCTATTGTGCCTATAGAATACTAACTGATTATTGTCATTCCAAGGCAAATCAGACCAACTAGAAAAATATGCTAAATGATCAGCATACAAAGGTCGCCAGTAAGGATAGTTTACATAAAAACGCATAACATGAAACATAACAATATTTTTTCTACCACACTAGTTACTTGTAAATGAGTTAGGTTATATAGGAACCATGATTCTGACAACACAACCCACTCCTAGTTAGGGGTTTTACCTATGAAACTTGCGATTGAGACTTTTAATGAATAAATTTTTACTTGGTAAAATGCATAATATCAAATGAACTATGCTGTTAATTGCGGCGCTATTACGCTGCAATAGCGGATTGCGGACTAAGGTAAAATTTCAGTGAAAATTGCGTTTCCAATATTAGCGGCACAATTGACCAATATTTGAGAGATATTTAAGGTGAAATTGCGGACCGATATTCCGATATTTTAGCTTGGGCCTCTTTAGAACTATGTCGACTCGGATGCTGAACCTATTGCTTGCGATTAGCTCGTTTATGAACATTTTTCCTATTTTGTTTTGTGAAACTTATTTAAGTTGATGTTTTGATGTTGAAGCTATATTTTTAATTAATGCATATGATATGTTTATGTATGCATACATATATATATGTATTATATATATAATTCTATAATATTATATAAACCGCTATTTTTGGACCACTACCACCGCTATTTCAAATATCAGTCCTGACTGCAATTTTGTATTTTCACCGCTATAACAGCATAGCAAATGAACTGATGTAACACACTTATAATGAGATAAGTATATTAAAACCGTAGAGCAATTACCTTTACCGATATCATGTTGTATTGCTTCATTCTCATCTAGAGACAAATTCAAATCTTCAAGGTTCTCACTTTTCAAATCCTCAATTGAATACTTTAGAAACACTGATGCTATGTAAGATGCATTTACAGCCTTAATTGAAGCCACGGATTGCACATCCGGAGTAGAAAGTGATGCTTGCAAGCACCATGTCAAGTGGATTAACAATTTTGCAAGGTGCCTAGTAGAACAATTGTTTCGCGCTGCATAATAAATTAAAATTAATAACCAAAATAACATCTTAGTCCATGCAATAGATATGTGGCACCACAAAAATCAAATGTAGCACCAAAACAACATATTAAAGCATGCGATATATATGTAGCACCATGAAACCAAGTGTAGCTTAAATTTCAGCACAAGGCTGAACTAATATCACTTATAATACATTTCACAGAATAAAGTTAAATGTGCTAATTATATAGGACATGCAGAAAATTGAATTAAATTAATACTGGAATGGATGCAATCTTTAACACATTAACATTTGTGTGATTGCACACGGTCGGTAAAAAATCACCAGCAAGCATCAAAAAACAAAAGTAACAGTCACATTTGACCATTAAAAACATATTTTGTTGCACATCATATAATCCTGACTGTTAATTTACACTGTTAAAATACTTTATCAAATGCCATTAAGCAATCTTGCTGCAAGAAAGCTTTTTGATGAGCATTTGGATAAAATGATAAAATAACAAGGATTTCTACTCGAGCAACTCACCGAAGATAACAAGGCATTTCACCTAAATGTTGATTAAGTTACTGAATTGAAGTGAAAAGTCTCTGTTCTTTTACTCGATATTATTTAGCAGAATATTCTATAATAACGTGGGTTACACCAGAGTGAAATCCCGAATTAGACTTTTTGGACAACAATAACTATACAAATTTAATAGACCCGAATAACATCCCAATAGGAGTTCTCAACAACCTAAATTCTGATCCCCGTTGGATCAACTTAGCATCCACATTTGTACTAGTCATAATAACAAATAGTAACAGAGCATCGAATGTTATCTCTAAGCTGCATACTGATTTGTAGTCCCTATTTGTATCGAAGCCTAGCTAACCCATTCCATATGAGGTCCCTTGTGCTTCACTCCACACATGTGAGGATGGCCCCTCTCGGCCTAGTATTTTTGTTAGAGAAGAAAAGGCAGGGGATCTCAATCTCTAGGAATCCAAGTCTGGATGCCATTTCAAAGTCCTACTGCGTTCTTTATGTGTGCATCAATCTTGTGATTGTCCAATAAGTGGCATTAGAGCTCTCAAGAGACAAATATGACAACCACAACCATCAAAACTAATGAGCTCGAGAAAACAAAGACATAAAACTTCGATGTTGTTATCAACGGTACTATGGATAAGCAAAGACTAAGCAAGTTTATTACGGGAATATTTTGTGAGATTAAAAGATCAACCATCAAGTAGATATCATACAATTCATGATAAGACATAGTCCACAATCCAATGTAAGTAGAGACGAGGTGCTGGATTGCTGTGAATTATTAAAAGTTCAAGGGATTTAAACATGATTCATTTCCACAGTATGAGAATCCAGATAACCCCACCATATCCTCCCAAGTAGAGAACGCAGCAGCATGAGCTAAGATAGAGTTTATACAATAATCCTCACAAACACCTCACTACTCCAAAATAGAGCTCACAAGCTAGCTGACGTTTGGATGGCACTATAAAGCAACGTAACAAAGAAACAACATTCGACTGATACAATAGCATGCCTGAGGATTGAGAAGTTAAAACAGGTTGCGCGATAGAGATCCAGCAATATAAGCTTGTAGAAAACTTCTCACTCTGGACAAACTCACGAAATTACTCAAGATGGTGCAACATACAATAACTACGCTTGTGGCAAAGGTTTTTGCCGTGATGGATTATCAAGGGAAGGAATGGAAGAATCCAATTCCACTTGGTTCCGAGTTTTAAATATACGATTTAAAGGTAAACCTGGTTTATGCCTAATTTAAAATTGAAATAACAAATCCTTTCGAATTCCCCCATATTTTGAGGTAGCATTTGGAGCCGAGGGAAGGATGTCCAGAACAATAATCTCTCTAAACCCCTCACCTCCCTTAGAAATATACATACCTCAGACTCACAGCATAACCAAACAGAAATACATTATATTGGGCGCAACAGAAAGCTAAATGATACAGCTACAACTAACCAAATGCCTGGCAAGCTTGTTCAACACGATGAGCCGGCCAATGGAGATCAAAAGGGAGCTCCAGTAATTTCTGCCAGTAATCAGAATTGAGTGGGAAAGTTTTATCACCAACAAATGTTCCGATTAAATACTCCGCCGTGTCCTGCGACAACTCGCCGCCCCAGCGCGGTGTTGAAGGCACGGCCCCCATCTAATTTGGCAACCAAAGCACCTGTAGATCAGTTTTTGAGCGATCTGAGTTGAATACTTGAGTAGAAAACGTGAATGGCAATAGTCTAACGACCTGCAATTTCGGGGGGCGTGGATCTTGAGACGGTGGGTGGTGAGTGGTGACTTAAGGGTCGTCGGTGCCAGACTCGGCAAGCAGGCTGGGATGGATATCTTTTATTAATAGCCAAGGCCAAATTGGAAGAAATGTGTTAGGCTCAATAACACCCCATCACCCATTTACCCCATATAAGGGGTTGAAAAACATATAAATATATGATTATTTAATTAATAACCTATATCTATACTATATTACCAGAAGGGTATTTACATAATGTAGTGATATATATCTTAATTTTAATCTTTAATTTATTATTTATCTCAGTCGATGTTATAATATGGTTTTATGTGATTTTGAGAAAGCGATGATCTTTTTATTTTTGAATAAAATATAAGTTTGAAGATATTATAAAAATTTAACAAAAATATATCGATATTGGTATCAAATTAACTATTTAAAATTCCTCATTTTTTGTGTAATTTTTTAATTCAATTTTTTTATATAATTTAATTTAGGTACAATAACGAAATAATTTATATTTAGTTTCATAATATAATTTTCTTATAAAGATAATAATTATTTATTTTGTTAGAACTCCATAATTATTTTAATTATTATATTTTATTTTTTTATTTTTTAAAATGAGATGTTTATCTTTTATTTGATTATATTTATCCGCAGTTAGTTATACGAATTCAAACATCGAGCTTTAATAAGTTGTAGTTATGCATAATTTACTTGTAATCTTGAATTTTAAGTAATATGCATCAATAAAAAATTTAAAATATAATTAGGATAATCATTGAGTTCTAACAGATTACTTAATTATTATCTTTATAAAATGTTATATTATTAAACCAAAAATAAATTATTTCATTATAAATTTAAATTAAATTATAATAAAAAAAAGTTAAATAAATTACATAAAAAATGAAAACTTTTAAATAGTTGATTTGATATTAACATTGATATATTTTTTTCAAATTTTTATGATATCTTCAAATTTATATTTTATTAAAAAATAAAATTATTATTGATTTCTTAAAAACATATAATTTATACTATATTATAAAGCATTTGACAAAAACTCTTAAAAACTACTTTTTATGCGTAAAGTACTGTTTATTAATGTATACTACTTAAAACTCAAAATTGCAAGAAGATTGTGCGTAAGTACAACTTATTAAAACTCCATATCTGAATTCGTGTAAATAACTGTAGATAAACATAATCAAATACATGATAAACATCTCATTTTAAATATAAAAAATGTATAATATAATTAGGATAATCATTGAGTTCTAACATGATACTTAATTATTATCTTTATAAAATGTTATATTATTAAACCAAAAATAAATTATTTCGTTATTAAACTTAAATTAAATTATAATAAAAAATGAACTAAATAAATTACATAAAAAATGAGAACTTTTGAATAGTTGATTTGATATTAACATTGATATATTTTTTTTTCAAATTTTTATGATATATTCAAATTTATATTTTATTCAAAAATAAAATCATTATTGTTTTCTTAAAAACACATAAAATCGTATTATAACATCGACAGAGACAAATAATAAAATAGAATATTAAAATCGAGATATGTCTCGCTGCATTGTGCGAGTACTCTTCTAGTTATATTATAGAGTATTTGACAAAAACTCTTAAAAATCATTATTTATGCATGAAGTACTGTTTATTAATGCATATTACTTAAAATATAAGATTTGAAGTAAATTGTGTATAAGTATAATTTATTAAAGTTTTATTTTTAAATTTGTATAATTAACTGCAGATTAACATAATCAAATACTGGATAAACATCTCATTTTAAGTATAAAAAATCTAAATTATAATTAAGATAATCATTGAGTTCTAACATAATCATTATCTTTATAAAAATTATATTGTTAAGTCAAAAATAAATTATTTCGCTATTAAACCTAAATTATAATAAAAAATTAAATTAAAGAATTTGTACAAAAAAGAGCTTTTAAATAGTTAATTTGACATTAACATCCATATACTTTTTCAAATTTATTTCTGTTCAAAAATAAAAACATTGTCTTTCTCAAAACCACATAAGTGGTATTATATCAACAGAGACAAAAAAACAAAACAAAACATTAAAATAAAGATGTATTTCAATGCATTACGCTAGTACCTTTCTAGTAATTATTAAATATATCATATACATAAAGCTTACAAAAAATGATATATCAATGGGGGTCAAAAGTAGAAAGAAAATGAAGGCTTTAAAAATAAAATAAAAAGTCAATAATGCTTTTCAAAAACATGTCTTGTAACTGACATCATCATCATGTGTGTATCGTCTGACAACGGTTATTATGGTCATTAACGTGTTTATGGAACGTGGATCTTACACTTTTTAGAACTCGAATAATAAAATGAATGGTTTCTGTGGTTTATCTAAAATCACACTGTTCGTCCTTAAAATAAAAGAACTGTGGAAGAGTCATGTGGTTTACATTTTACAACGTTTTGGAGTCCTCTCGTTCCATATTTTCTAACACCATGGATCATTGTCAACAAACTATGTTTAATATGGTTCGTTAACTTAGGGGTAGCTTGGTCTTTTTAGCCATTTTGTTTGTCTTTTTCTGCATAAAAATATCATATTATATTATATATACACACCATCCACTACCCTTCACAACCAATTCAAACACAATACAGTAAAATTTCAAGAAATCAACATATAATCACAAACATTCAATATAAACAACATATTTGTATAAATTTATTAAAAATGTATGATACACCTTAAAATCAAATCCTAAAATATAAGAATCTAAATAAGAAACTCAAATAAAATCTAGATCAAAAACTCAAAAAGGGTGGAGATCGTACATGTGTTCCCTAATTGAAAAAGGTGTCCATTGTCCATATGTCCCCTGATTTGAAAAGGGTGTTCATCGTCCATGTGTTCCTATCCTATCGTTAGGATGTTGTTCATGTCGTATACAAGATTGGTTGGTCCTAGTTAGGTTAATGACCTATACTACATGTGTTTGTAGAAGTGGGGTTGAATACAAGCATAACAAATTTTTACTTTTAAATTCTTTGTAGAAGGGGGGCTGAATACAAATACAACACTTTTAAATTCTTTATTCTGTATTTTGTCTTAAAACAAATAATTACATATGTTACGAAAAGCTAGGGAAGTAAGGCATGTTATCATAAACTATTTGACTAGCTGATAAATTTGCAAACAGCTGAAAGAGTAATAGAAGAAGGCACTCTTTCGTATTTGAAGAACTAAGATAGTTTTCAGAGATCATGATGTCGATCTGAAAGGATATGCACTTAGTAATTATTGAAAAGGGACAAGTTGCTTATGAGCCAAAGACCACCTTTTTATAGTAGCTCATGCATTAAATGCAATAATGCAACTTCATCGTATGTCTTCATTTGATTTGCTAATTCATGTAGCTTTGTACTTTTCATATCAGCCATTTGATATGATGTAGACACTTGTTGCTCCAACCCATACTGTTGTATGCGAGTGAACAGTAAAAAAAAGTATGGTACTAATAAAGTAGTATTTTTGAACATGTTTTGGCTGACATGCTAGTAGAACATGGGTTAGAGATTAGTCCCAAAGTTTCTTCATCTAATATTCGCATGCTTTAGTGTGCATAGTGAACACTAAAGTAAGCGAATATTATTTAATTTGGCTGACATGTTGAACATGTTCCCACACTAGGATTAGAGATGATAAAAGAAACTTGGTCCCCAACTCTTCACTTCAAATCGGCTTGCCAGATAGCATTTGGCAAACTATTTGACTTGTTTGTCTTCTGATTTTCTGTCAGTTAGTTGATAATACCAATCTGTTTTGGTGTCGATCTAATTTCACTTCAACTAGTCTTCAATTTTGCTGAAGGCGTTTTGCTTGATCAGGTAACAGATTACAAAACAGGACATAGCAAAGGAAATCCTATCTAAAAGGATAATTGGGTATCCAAAATTCAAGTTATATTTCGGATACACCAAAGACACATCCTTATCAATTATGAAGTTAAAACATTGGATGGTAGAATAACTTAGACTAAAATGCGGATTCTCTGAGAATCAAGATTGATTAACCTATGAAGATAGGTCAATTGGATTCTTATATTTAGAAGGAGATTTCTCAAATTTTATTTAAGTTATGGATCTGACGGTGACTAGGATCTGAAACCTTGAGATTATAATTTTTGTTTGTTGAGCAAGGTTCGTATGTTAGTCCTTTGTGTCATATCTAATTAGAGATGTATATCAGATATGATCCTTTGTGTTAAAACGATAGATAATGCATATTGATATGAACACTTGTGTCATATCTGATAGATAATGCATATCAAATATGACCATTACAAGGCAAGTATTAAGAATTTATTTCTAAGTGATGACTCGGATGCTAGATGTATTATTTATAAATTTGATGATTGAGACCAACAATATCCCCTATTTGTTAATAATACAAATAGACAATCGTGATAGAAACAACCAGAAAGAATGGTACTAAAACTCATAAGCGATTTTGGATTATTTTTGCCTTTTCTCTTTTTGTTCTTTTCTTTTTTTCTTTGGTTTTGCTCTTCTGAAGGCTTTTCTTTTCTTTTATTTTTATTTTCTTTTTCTTTTCAGATAATGTTACACTGTAATAAAATAGCTAAAGTTGAAAATTTGTAAATTTATGCCGAATTTAAAATTACAAGAAAATAAGATAGATTTTCATCGTCCGAAAAAATTCGTCTTCATGCTTCTCATTTGATCATTCTGATAGTTGAACAAGGAGTTTCAGAGGATTTTGACTTATGGGATCAGAGGGAGTAGCATTCAGATGACTTTTGTTCTTTTGGATAAAAAAGGTGACTGCAGTTGGAGGGGGTTCAAATTGGCTAATTTGGACTTTCTAAGTGTTTCTTCGTTTGAATTTCATCATCTAATTCTTTTTATGGAGTCATCTTGCTTTTCTCCTATGAGTTTGGATGTTCACCCAAGTCGGATATTTTCTTCTTTTATTTTGTCCACTGACTTTGGATGTTCATCCGAATTGGGTTC